GAGTCTTGACACCATTTTAGGGTTATACGGGTTCCTGCTTGTTAATGCAATTAGTATAATTAATACAATCTTACTATATATAAAGCGAGACGAGAGTTTCCGTGCCATTTTACTGACACCACGGCATCAACTTTAACGCGACTTTCCGCAAAACCATAAAGGATATACAACTGAAACTTTTTTGACTGGGTCAAATGCTTTAATGGCCTCCAAATCAGCATGAAAAAATAATAAATTGGCCAAGGAATAGTGATTTTAGAGCCAAAAATTTGGACTTGGGAGTGGTGTCACAAACGCGAATTAAATAAGTAATAATTATTTTAGTCTCTTGAGTCTTGACACCACTTTAGGGTTATACGGGTTCCTGCTAGTAAGTATAATCTAAGTAACTATATATAAAGCGAGACGATGTATATATATATTTATCCGTGCCATTTTACTGACACGACGGCATCAAATTTAACGCGAATTTCTGCAAAAACCGTCAAAGATATACAACTGAAACTTTTTTGACTGGGTCAAATGCTTTTATGGCCTCCAAATCAGCATGAAAAAATAAAAAATTGGCCAAGAAATAGGAGTTTTAGACCCCAAAATTTTGACCCCCAAGTGGTGTCAAAAACACGAATTAAATAGGTAATAATTGTTTTAGTCTCTTGAGTCTTGACACCATTTTAGAGTTAGACGGGTTCCTGCTAGTTATTATAATTAGTATGATCAGTATGATTAGTATAATTAACAAAATTAGTATAATTGGTATAATTAGTTAATTTAGCATTATTAATATAATTAGCATATTCAGTTGAATTATCAGAATTAGTATAATTATCAAAATCAACTTAATCAGCAAAATTAGTATAATTAGCAAAATTAGTTGATTAGCAACATTAGGTAAATTAGTAAGATTAGTGTAATTAGCAAAATTAGTGTAATTAACGAAATTAGTATAATTAGCAAAATTAGCGTAAGTAAGGAAATTAGTGTAATTAGCAAAATTAGTATAATTAGCAAAATTAGTATAACTAACAAAATCATTATAATTAGCAAAATTATTATGATTAGCGAAATTAGTAAATCAAACATAATTAGCATAATAATCTAAATTGAATAGTATCTCGTTGAGATTATTAAATAGTAAATTACGCAATATTGTGGTCGATTTCTGTCATAAATGATTTAAACAGAATATTTTGGCCAATGAGTTCATGTCGAGAGCCACTAATTTTGGGTCTTATAGTGGTTATTTTGTTTAAATGGTGAGTTTAGAAGCACTTACAGTACCTTGTTCAATTATTTATTTGTTTACTATATATAGTATATATATATGTATATGATGTATTATTCTATGGCCTTGCTGAAATGTTTTATTCGAAAGAGAGTTGTGAGATTACACATTTAATTATTGCACCTGTTTGAAAGAAATCATAGTCATTACTAACGAAGTAATGTAAAACTGAAAAGTCAAAAGTAATACACTCGACGACTTACGACTACGACTTAGGGTGGCTTCAACGTCCGAACAGAGATATTTTTTTTCCAAATATGACTATCCAGCATGAGTTTGTTAATCTCCTTGCTGTCGTCAAGCCCCGTGTCCTTCCGAAGGATGTCACGTTTTATTTGTGAGGTGTGGTCGAAGTAATTTAAAACTGAAAAGTCAAAAGTAATACAACTATGTGGTTTTAAATTAGTACTTTAAAAAAGTAATGTAAATTGTAAAATAAAATTTATTTAAATTTCTTATTTTAAAAAACATCAGTTAAAAATATACACCTTAAATAATAATATCAATAATAATATACACATTAAAGAAAATAATCACACTCCACACAACATTTATATTTTAAATTTCAAAATAAATCTCTAAATTTCTCGGTGAATGCCGATTTATAAAAACGTTCAAAATGATTTAAAGTTATCTCTCAAAAAAATCCGATTCCATTTATCAATCGGTTGCATTTCTTAAAATGTCAAAAGGGACACCGGTTCTGCTGTTCGGTACGGTGTACAATGTTTACCATTTTCAGTGGTAGGTTGATACTAGTGAAATTTTCCATTAAGATAGCTTGAAATGTCTGGTTACAGCAGTATCTCAGAGTGGCGGAGGTCTGTGTCTTTTCTCGTGATCTTCATTTCTATATCATGAGGCTCGTTCCTAGATTCTGAAATGGTATTGTGACAAAAATCTGTTATTATGTAGTTTTTGGTAAACACCACATTTCGTGTTCGGAACGTAAAAGTAGAAATGATCACATTTCATGAAATAATAATTATTGAACAGTTTGTAGAAAAATTTAACCGAGAAGAATATTTTTCACTTCTTGTACTTACTATTCACAGCTGCCTAACAAGGTTTAGAAAGGGTTCATATTTTTTATCAGTTGAAAGGTTCGTTCCTGCTGAGTAAAGGTCTGAAGTAAATTGTTATAATATGATATAATAGCAATACATGCAGTTTTATGAAAAAGTTTAAAAAGGTTAATCCGATTCCATTTATCTCGGCGGTGATTAACGAGCCGAGATAGCAGCATCGTAGAGAGCAGTTTTCCGATACAGCTACAGACTGCTATTGCTCTATAGTTGTCAGAATGTCAGGGTTCCTGATGCACCCTTTTTTGTGAATTGGTGTGATCACACTTTTGCTCCAGAGGTAGACTCCTGTCTCCAGGCACAAATTGAAGAGTTTGAGGAGGAGCGACCTCATATTCATGCTCAGACCCCGGAGCATTTCGTTGCTGATGTGGTCAAAAGAAGATGCTTTGCCCGATTTGAGTTTCGCCTATGATATTGTTATTATCTTAACAGTTACTATTGTAGCTTAAGATTTTAAATTTGTATTCCTTGTAATCGTAATTGACTACATTATGAGGGTGTCCCTAGAGGGTAGGGACTTTGGGTTTACTCTACACCCTAGAAGAAGCTGACGCTATCCGGCTGTCAAGGTCACTGATGCGGTGGTGTCAAAAACGCGAATTAAATAGGTAATAATTATTTTAGTCTCTTGAGTCTTGACACCATTTTAGGGTTATACGGGTTCCCGCTTGTTAATGCAATTAGTATAATCAATACAATCTTACTATATATAAAGCGAAACGATAGTTTCCGTGCCATTTTACTGACACCACGGCATCAACTTTAACGCGACTTTTCGCAAAAACCATAAAGGATATACAACTGAAACTTTTTTGACTGGGTCAAATGCTTTAATGGCCTTCACATCAGCATGAAAAAATAAAAAATTGGCCAAGGAATAGTGATTTTAGACCCCAAAATTTTGACCCCCAAGTGGTGTCAAAAACGCGAATTAAATAGGTAATAATTATTTTAGTCTCTTGAGTCTTGACACCATTTTAGGGTTATACGGGTTCCTGCTTGTTAATGCAATTAGTATAATTAATACAATCTTACTATATATAAAGCGAGACGAGAGTTTCCGTGCCATTTTACTGACACCACGGCATCAACTTTAACGCGACTTTCCGCAAAACCATAAAGGATATACAACTGAAACTTTTTTGACTGGGTCAAATGCTTTAATGGCCTCCAAATCAGCATGAAAAAATAATAAATTGGCCAAGGAATAGTGATTTTAGAGCCAAAAATTTGGACTTGGGAGTGGTGTCACAAACGCGAATTAAATAAGTAATAATTATTTTAGTCTCTTGAGTCTTGACACCACTTTAGGGTTATACGGGTTCCTGCTAGTAAGTATAATCTAAGTAACTATATATAAAGCGAGACGATGTATATATATATTTATCCGTGCCATTTTACTGACACGACGGCATCAAATTTAACGCGAATTTCTGCAAAAACCGTCAAAGATATACAACTGAAACTTTTTTGACTGGGTCAAATGCTTTTATGGCCTCCAAATCAGCATGAAAAAATAAAAAATTGGCCAAGAAATAGGAGTTTTAGACCCCAAAATTTTGACCCCCAAGTGGTGTCAAAAACACGAATTAAATAGGTAATAATTGTTTTAGTCTCTTGAGTCTTGACACCATTTTAGAGTTAGACGGGTTCCTGCTAGTTATTATAATTAGTATGATCAGTATGATTAGTATAATTAACAAAATTAGTATAATTGGTATAATTAGTTAATTTAGCATTATTAATATAATTAGCATATTCAGTTGAATTATCAGAATTAGTATAATTATCAAAATCAACTTAATCAGCAAAATTAGTATAATTAGCAAAATTAGTTGATTAGCAACATTAGGTAAATTAGTAAGATTAGTGTAATTAGCAAAATTAGTGTAATTAACGAAATTAGTATAATTAGCAAAATTAGCGTAAGTAAGGAAATTAGTGTAATTAGCAAAATTAGTATAATTAGCAAAATTAGTATAACTAACAAAATCATTATAATTAGCAAAATTATTATGATTAGCGAAATTAGTAAATCAAACATAATTAGCATAATAATCTAAATTGAATAGTATCTCGTTGAGATTATTAAATAGTAAATTACGCAATATTGTGGTCGATTTCTGTCATAAATGATTTAAACAGAATATTTTGGCCAATGAGTTCATGTCGAGAGCCACTAATTTTGGGTCTTATAGTGGTTATTTTGTTTAAATGGTGAGTTTAGAAGCACTTACAGTACCTTGTTCAATTATTTATTTGTTTACTATATATAGTATATATATATATGTATATGATGTATTATTCTATGGCCTTGCTGAAATGTTTTATTCGAAAGAGAGTTGTGAGATTACACATTTAATTATTGCACCTGTTTGAAAGAAATCATAGTCATTACTAACGAAGTAATGTAAAACTGAAAAGTCAAAAGTAATACACTCGACGACTTACGACTACGACTTAGGGTGGCTTCAACGTCCGAACAGAGATATTTTTTTTCCAAATATGACTATCCAGCATGAGTTTGTTAATCTCCTTGCTGTCGTCAAGCCCCGTGTCCTTCCGAAGGATGTCACGTTTTATTTGTGAGGTGTGGTCGAAGTAATTTAAAACTGAAAAGTCAAAAGTAATACAACTATGTGGTTTTAAATTAGTACTTTAAAAAAGTAATGTAAATTGTAAAATAAAATTTATTTAAATTTCTTATTTTAAAAAACATCAGTTAAAAATATACACCTTAAATAATAATATCAATAATAATATACACATTAAAGAAAATAATCACACTCCACACAACATTTATATTTTAAATTTCAAAATAAATCTCTAAATTTCTCGGTGAATGCCGATTTATAAAAACGTTCAAAATGATTTAAAGTTATCTCTCAAAAAAATCCGATTCCATTTATCAATCGGTTGCATTTCTTAAAATGTCAAAAGGGACACCGGTTCTGCTGTTCGGTACGGTGTACAATGTTTACCATTTTCAGTGGTAGGTTGATACTAGTGAAATTTTCCATTAAGATAGCTTGAAATGTCTGGTTACAGCAGTATCTCAGAGTGGCGGAGGTCTGTGTCTTTTCTCGTGATCTTCATTTCTATATCATGAGGCTCGTTCCTAGATTCTGAAATGGTATTGTGACAAAAATCTGTTATTATGTAGTTTTTGGTAAACACCACATTTCGTGTTCGGAACGTAAAAGTAGAAATGATCACATTTCATGAAATAATAATTATTGAACAGTTTGTAGAAAAATTTAACCGAGAAGAATATTTTTCACTTCTTGTACTTACTATTCACAGCTGCCTAACAAGGTTTAGAAAGGGTTCATATTTTTTATCAGTTGAAAGGTTCGTTCCTGCTGAGTAAAGGTCTGAAATAAATTGTTATAATATGATATAATAGCAATACATGCAGTTCTAGTTTATGAAAAAGTTTAAAAAGGTTAATCCGATTCCATTTATCAATCGGTTGCATTTCTTAAAATGTTAAAAGGGACACCGGTTCTACTGTTCGGTACGGTGTAAAATGTTTACCATCTTCAGTGGTAGGTTGATACTAGTGAAATTGCCCATTAAGATAGCTTGAAATGTCTGGTTACAGCAGTATCTCACAGTGGCGGAGGTCTGTGTCTTTTCTCGTGATCTTTATTCCTATATCATGAGGCTCGTTCCTAGATTCTGAAATGGTAGAGTGACAAAAATCTGTTATTATGTAGTTTTTGGTAAACACCACATTTCGTATTCGGAACGTAAAAGTAGAAATGATCACATTGCATGAAATGATAATTATTGAACAGTTTGTAGAAAAGTTTAACCGAGAAGAATATTTTCACTTCTTGTACTTACTATTCACAGCTGCCTAAAAAGGTTTACAAAGGGTTCACATTTTTTTATCAGTTGAAAGGTTCGTTCCTACTGAGTAAGGGTCTGAAATAAATTATTATTAAATATGATGTAATAGCAAAACATCAAAACTTTGGTAAATCTTTGAATAGATTTTGAATTTTGTTTAATGTTAAATACATATCTACAAATAATCTCTATTTAACATTGAATAATGTTAATAAATATTTATAAACACAAATATGTCTCACAGTGATGGAGTTTTGTGTCTTTTTCAGGGTATTCATCACTTATCAATGCCACGAAGCTCGTTTCTGTAATCTGTATTCTGAAATGGTGATTTTATTGCCGATCAGTGACACATTATTTCTGGTATTGTGCATGAAATTTTTGGTGATCAGCACAGTTCATGTTCAAAATTTGATCACAGTCAAGTTCAAAATAAGATAGATAATAGCAATGTGTGTATTAAACAGCAATTGAATTTTAGGAATTCAGCACAATAGAAGTGTTATCACGAAAAAGCACTTAAAAAAGGTAATTTTTTACTAACCTTCAATTCTCATTAATTGGTTGAAGCTGATATCCTCTTTTTCTTCCTGTTGAACATTCGTATAGTCTTTATACAGCTTCGTCTTCGTTCCTGGAGTTGGTTATTAATAACTTAAAATAAAAGTAAATTATCATTAATTGACGATATAAAGATCTTCTCGCTTTTGCCATTTGAAATGGAAAGCACCGGATTTCCAGTCAGTTTCTAATATTTGCTAGACAATATCACCAAGCTATCAATGGTGTATGTTATTACAAATTACAATTAACTAGATTCTACGTATTAAGTATAGGTACGTACCGTAATTGTAGCTGCTGATAAAAGCTGAAAGTAGGTTTAAAAAATAAAAACGAAGGCAAATAAGTTTGCTTTTCTAAGGTTGTTATATATTAGGGCTGGATAAACTTCAGCAGTTCAAAACTAATTACAACACTACAAATCTATTACATTTATTGAGTATTATGTAACGCGATGGAAATATTTTAAGCGGGTAATATTATCCTGTTCAAACTCAGGATACACAACATGAAGACTTTGTTGTAACTTTGTATGAGAAGTATTAATATAAGCCTAATAATGTTAAAATTTTTTGGACATTGATTGAGCAGTTTTTTGAAAGATTTCGACGAATAGAGTAATCCTCCGCTTCTTGCACTTACTGCTCACAGCTCATAAAATGGTCAACAAAGGATTCACATTTTGTCTTTTTAGTTGAATGGTTCGTTCCTACTGAGTAAGGGTCTGAAACAAATTATTATGATATGATATAATAGCAATACATCAAACCTTTGTTAAATCTTTGAATAGATTTTGAATTTAATTTAATGTTAAATACATATTTATAAATAATATGTATTTAACATTGAATAATTTTTATAAATGTTTAAAAACACAAATGTTTCTCACAGTGATGGAGTTATATGTGTCTTTTTCAAGGTATTCATCACTTATCAATGCCATGAAGCTCGTTTCTGTAATCTGTATTCTGAAATGGTGATTTTATTGCCGAGTGACACATTATTTCTGGTATTGTACATGTAATTTCTGGTAATCAACACGGTTCATGTTCAAAATGTAAAATTTTGCCACAGTTAAATTGGAAAATAATTTGAATAATAGCAATGTGTTTTAAATAGCAATTGAATTTTAGGAATTCAGCACAATAGAAGTGTTGCAGTATATGACAAAAAAAAACAAACACTTAAAGTGGACATTTTTCTTACTAACCTTGAATTCTCATAAATTAATTGGAGCTGATATTCTCTCCCTTTCTTCCTGTTCATCTCTATTCTGTCGACATTCGTATAGACTTTATACATCATCGTCTTTGTTCCTGGGGTTGTTAATTAATAACTTGAGATAGGAATAGATTATCATTAGACCTTATTAAGATATTCTGGTTTTGTCATTTGAAATGGAAATCACCGGATTCGCGGTTAGTTTCTAATATTTGATAAACTATATCATCAATGGTTTATGTTGTAACATTGAGCTGGATTCTACGTACATCTCTCTCAGTGTTTTAGTTTAAATTTAATATATTTATGAAACAAAGCGTTTTACTGTGTTATAATGAAAATGCATTCTTTGTTAAATTTTTGAATTTAAATTGATTTTACATTTTATTTTGCTTTGTCAAATGCTGTTGTGTTGAGATCTCAGAGCAGGTTACCTCGATAACTTTTCTGGGGACTTGTGGGTACTGGGTTTCTGCTGTCATACTTTTCCACCCGGAAAACTCAAACATACATTTTCTTATTTGGATATCTAAGTTAGATTGCAGTATCATCTGAGCCATTTGTCATAGCCCATCAACTGTAAGATTAAATTAAATCAGTTTTCTATAGTAATATAACCATTAACCAACTCTCCCCCTTACGACATTATTTTACCCCCTTTCGTCGGTTATGCTGATACTACCCTGGTTGTATGAAGAGTTTAGTTATCCTTTTGTAGTGATGCTATGGTCATTTAGCATATCCGCTTCTACAATACCTGTATTTATACACTCGGGTTCATTAAAATCGAAAATAAATTCCGTTCCTGAGGTGCAGGTCACCTCGCTGCTCCCTTTATTGAGAGCTCTGGATTCAACACAATTCACTTCCACCACGGTTCCTGGGACTACTGGGAACTGTGTTGTTGTTCTGATCGCAGTTCTCCACTCAGCCTTCAGTCCCGTACAGCTCACTGTCTATATGTCATATTAAATCACGTTAAACTGATTAATAAGGGTTATTTTGACGGTTTCTTATGTTCTCTTCCGCAGTTCCGCGATTTAGTTTTCATGACCCAACCCGAACCCTTTCAAGCAACCTCAAATATAACTATAGTATCGTTTGCTCGGGGGTCCAAGTCTCAAATACTGTATACAATTTACCATTCTGTAGCGCAGTTAAATTAAATTTAAAACATAACCATAATATAAGATTTAAAGTTATCTTACCACAGGCAGTTTTGTAAGTGTTTGGTTTCCATCCAGCGTCACATGTCTCACAGCTTGTCATAGCATCATTCCGATATGTTCCTTCCCCACACGGCTCTGGAATTATAACGTTATATATATATATATATTACAACTGGTAAATCGTTGTGGAAGATAAGGAAATCGTTATTATATAAGTACACTTCAGATGTGTTACAATTAAATTAGAATTGAAACAATAGGTGAATAATTAAATATCCACACAACCACGGTTATTTGATAGAATTATTACCACCCAGACTCTTACGGTTTTTGTCTTTTCGTACCACAAATTTTGCCTTCTTGATTCTAAGCCCTATCTGGCGCCTTATCCTTATCCCGTCTTAACCCTTAGCCTATCTTTGCCCATCTATACAATATAGATATAATCATCTCAGCTCGGTTCTTGCTAACAATCCTTACCACATGTTGTTCTCGCTGAGTTTCGTTCCTGGCCAAGTTCACAAGTTGTACACAAGGCTGCTCCTTCTGAACTGATCGTGTTATCAGGACATTCTTTACATGTGTTCATCTCAATGTTCTTGTAGCTTCCAGCTGGACATGGCTCTGAAGAATTAGGAAATCTTTAAGCAGCAATTCGTTTGAACTACCTTATTTAGAAGTTATTGTGAGTACCAATATCCTCGGTTTCCATTCTATAGCACAGTCAATTCAAATTTAAAACACAACAATAATATTAAATATAAGCTTTAAAGTTATCTTACCACAGGCTGTTTTGTCAGAGTTTGGTGTCAATCCAGCGTCACATGTCTCACAGCTTGTCATATCATCATTCCGATATGTTTTTTCTCCACACGGCTCTACAATTATAACGTTACAAATGGCAAATCGTTGTGGAAGATAAGAAAATCGTTATTATATAATTACACTACAGATGTGTTACAATTACATAAGATTTAAAACAATAGGTGAAAAATTAAATATCCACACAACCACGGTTTTTGATAGAATTATTACCACCCAGACTCTTACGGTTCTTGTCTTTTCGTACCACAAATTTTGCCTTCTTGATTCTAAGCCCTATCTGGCGCCTTATCCTTATCCCGTCTTAACTCTTAGCCTATCTTTGCCCATCTATACAATATAGATATAATCATCTCAGCTCGGTTCTTGCTAACAATCCTTACCACATGTTGTTCTCGCTGAGTTTCGTTCCTGGCCAAGTTCACAAGCTGTACACAAGGCTGCTCCTTCTGAACTGATCGTGTTATCAGGACATTCTTCACATGTGTTCATCTCAATGTTCTTGTAGCTTCCAGCTGGACATGGCTCTGAAGAATTAGGAAATATTTAAGCAGCAATTTGTTTGAACTACCTTATTAATATTATGAAGTTATTGTGAGTATCAATATCCTCGGTTTCCATTCTATAGCACAGTTAATTCAAATTTAAAACATAACAATAATATTAAATTTAATAAGCTTTAAAGTTATCTTACCACAAGCTGTTTTATCAGAGTTTGGTGTCGATCCAGCGTCACATGTCTCACAGCTTGTCATAGCATCATTCCGATATGTTCCTTCTCCACACGGCTCTGGAATTAATAACGTTAAAACTGGCAAATCGTAGTGGAAGGTAAGAAAATCGTTATTATATAACTATTTAAGTACAGTTCAGATGTCTTACAATAACATTAGATTTATAACAATATGTGAAGAATTAAATATCCACATATTCCACGGTTTTTCGAGGAAATTATTGCCACCCAGACTTTTACGATTCTTGTAATTTCGTACCACACATTTTCCTTCTTGGTTCTAAGCCCAATACAAATTAAAATTGTTATCAGTCATTATAGGATTAATGCTAAAAATTCGCCTCAGCAACAAACTATGAAGCACAATGCACATTGCACAATGCACATATTGTGTAAACTCTGCAAAATAAATATTGAACCAAAAAAGTTTTGAGTTTGTTTGGTAAAATACCTTACTGCTTATATGTTCAAGATATTTTGTAAAAACGTCAGTTTTCAATTGATAATTGTTTCAACCTTTAGTAGCTGAAAATGGCTTGTCTCCATGATGTCTACTACAAAATATGCAATATTTCTAAATTATAGTTAGCTATTTTGCAATCTGAAAGAATGTGATTTTATCTCATTCGGAGAATAGTAATTGATAAAATTATGACCACTTTATTAAGTTATAAATAACAATATGTACTAACTATCCTATATCCCATATCCTATAATATATGTGTTTATGTTAAATAACTAAATGGCATACTTGAAATTTAGACAGAACACACGTAATCACGAGCGTACGAGAGAATCAGCAAGTTGGCTTATTTGTAAATTAAAGTTATTGTTTGTTAAACCAATGCTTGTTGTTATTAGTTACCTGGTTGTGGTATGTAGTAATCAGATGCTGTGTCGGAGGAATGGAACTGTATCTTTGCCACGTATCCGGTCCAGTACGTGCTCCAGCCACTGCTACTACACGTTGCTTGAGAGATCAGTATGTTGAGCACCTCTACCTCGTTACAGTGTATCACTAGTCTAACACCTGCAGTTCTGGTTAGAGTGATACTCCACACCTTGTTAATAGTAGAGGGGGGTTTAACAGGGAAGTTAGTGGAGGTTGAGCTGCAGTAGGGGATCCAGTATTGTGGAGTAGAGCTGAAGTAGAGGACGACTCCTCCTGAAAGCGGTCCCTCAGCTGAGTAGAAGAACACAAACACCTTATCGCCACTCCCCAGCACACTATTAGTTTTAATTTCTAAAGGTTTCGACTCAGAATCCCACTCTATTTCCACCTCACGTTTCACTGGTAACCAACCTGTTAATTGTATGCTTAATTCATAAGTATACTGAGCAACGATTAATGAATATCATGAATTTAAAGAAGAGGTGTTCTAGCAAAATTGTAAAGGAATTGTATGAATTTTGCCCATAGTTTATTCTCAGAATTTAAGGGCCCGACCATACTATGACTGTTGTCACCATGACTGTTGTCACCATGACTGTTGTCATGGTGCGGTCAGATGTAATGACCATATGTACGTAGTGTGTTTAATGTTTATAGGGCGTGCCAAGGATACGTGACAACTCCTCAGGCACTCGGCTTTTCAAAAGCCGTACCTAGCTGATAATCCGTGCCTGACGTGACTGCAGGCACAGTCTATTCAGTACTTGTGCCAACTGTCATGGATAACGTTACGTCACGATTACCTAATAAGGTCAATATTTTGCGTGATATGGAAATTTGCAGTGCAGAGTGCAAAGATAGTACTATAGTACAGACAGATCTGTCTGAAAAAATCGATCTACTGACAGAAGAAGCTTCCGAAGGATTTATGACGTTTTTAGGTTCAATTTTAAGTTTCATTCGGGTGGCCAACTTTTCCAAAATTGTCCACGTGTCTTAAGGCCACTTTTTGCCACGTTTGCCACTTTTTACCTCCTTTCTTTTTTGTCAAATATCTTCAGCTGTGAACATCGTAGAAGGATACGAATTAATAGAGGGTAATTATCATATCGACGAGAAAAACTTTTGTAAGACAAATGTTCTTGTCCGACAATTAGATAATTGGATAGTTACTAATTAGCAAGTAAGCAAGTAAAAATCATAAAAATGTTTATTGGCTCAAAATGATCGGAATTTCTTGAAACACTGGGAAAGGTAGGTAGTTTTTGAAAAAACTTTCGAAAATTTAAAATTTTTTTCCGCCAAACGTTTTTTCGAATAGAAGTTCTACTGAAAGCATCAAACCATGGTTTGGTGGCCGAACTGCATCCGACCGAATTGGTCCCCACTGGGAACCAGATTGGTCCCCACTGGGAATCGAACCCCAGTCGTCCGTGTGGGAAGTAAATGTATTAAAACCACTAAACCACCCGGCCGACGTGACAGCACTCACATTTTACTACAGGGTGGGCCAAAAGTCAGTACCCATACGTTGGCCTTTATAGCTCAGTCACTGAGTGCCCAATTTAAATACTTCTTTCTGGTATGACTTAGTACCACCACTGGTTCGAGGAATTTGTCAACTCGAAAAATATTCGCGTTCATTTTTTTCAAATGGAGGTTCATTTTCACATTTATTTGATAGTTTGGATAGTCGGATCAAGCTAAATGTTATTGTATTGTGTTTGGCCATTCGAATTACGTTTGTCCTGAAAGAATTAGAACTGTAGCTTCTCAGATGACCGAGATATGAAGCATAACGAGTTTATTCATTACGTGTGATCAGGTGATTGGTTTACCTAATCACGTGATAAGGTGCCCCCGTTAACTACCCCGTTAAACATTATGGGAATTGTTAATGGTGCCCAATTAAGGTGTCGTGTCACGGTGTCACATAATCACCCAGTCAATATTGTTAACGAGATACAGAAAATGCTTGATAACTTCGTCATTTCTAATCCGTTTTGCCTCATGTTTTTAGATCATATGCAACATGTGATAATCTACCGTCTCTGAAAAAAATTAGGCGTTCAGCATGTTCAGAGAAAAAACTATAGGTGTTTTAATATTGAATGGGCGTGGTCTAAAATATTCAAATTTTCAAATTTTGACGACGGAATCCTCGAACCAGTAAGTACAGTATGCCATCTGCAAAGCAACAGCTCTCAAATATAAAACACGGCGGAGCTATTAAGGCCAACGTATGGGTACTGACTTTTGGCCCACCCTGTATTTTCATCCCAATTATCATAGTATGTTTAGAGATCGAGCCTAAAATCATGACAAATGGCACAGTGTGTTAAGAGGCCGTGCCTTTACAGTTACTCGTGACAACAGTCATAGTATGGCTCTTACTTCCTTTTTCCATAGGTAGTATACAAATTTGCGAAATTTGTGACTAAAATTATGGTATTACCAAAATGTTTGTAACCAAATTTATTGTGAACCAAATTTATTGACCTTAAGGTATACTTTTATGCGATACATTGCATGAATATCATTATGGTTAACTTTTAATCAGTATATTATGTAATCATTTGATTTAACCTGTTATCCGGTTTGCAGAGCCATGTAATTCAAATTTTTCCCGATTACTTCATTTCCCGATTACTTCGCTGCCTGTTAGGTGCCTTGCTGTCACTCGATAGGCAGCAGTATTTATGCGACCAAAAATTTTTTTTCTTACAACGACATATTATGCTATCTTTTATAATCCAATATTTTAGAACTTTACACCTTGTTGTATTTGCGGAAGATCAAAGCATACAGACTGTTACAATGCTGAAAAACAGCAAACTTTTTCCCTAGAGCGTTAATTGTATATCCCTAGGAGGTCACTAGTATCAAGATCTTAGTTTTAAGTTATATTTAAACAAAACGCTTATTTAACAATAGATGTATCTCCAATCAGATAATGTAACTACACAAGCCACTAAGCCACAGCAATTAAGTCTATGATGTGTAGGCTGAGACATCTAGAAAATGCCGTTTTGAGTATAAGTTGTTAACTCAGATTCAGACCCTTGTTTGTTTCAGCTGTTAGATTTAGCATGAAGCAAACAGAGGAGTGAATTACCGAGAATTAAACAATTTGAACTTATATAGTGACACCAGATGGATTTTTATTATTATCAATATCATTTAGGTCTTGATTCTTTTCTGTTTGATCCCTGTCACCCTGTGGTCAATTCAAAGATAATACTTTCGACACTTGCACTTCTACTGGATAAACTTCACCTCATTGGACACACTACCTACAGCTCTTATCCCGCGCGCGGACGAACACTAAGTATCAGCCCGAAAGCAGCTCAAAAAGATTTCTACTGAGCTTGATTAATTTAGTAAACCTAAATTCGTTACAATTTGCAGGCCGTGAATGGATGGGGAAAACGAGCGACCGATTACATTCCAGGTATCATTTTGCATAAATTTGAGAACGGTAACTTAACTTGATTTACTTCCTTTGTGTCTGGAAAAAGGAGATACGGTCGATGGTCCAATCTACCCAATTTTTGGTTTTTGGTGAAAAATATTTGATACTATAATTATCTCATTTCACCGGGTATAAGTGGTACTACTACTACTACTACTACTACTACTATTTTCTATAACGATAAATTATTGATCTATTTTTGATCAATGATAAGTAAAATAGCAGCTCATGCATGCACATGTCACGTAGCTTACCACAGAGAGATAGCGAGATGATTTGTAGGAATATTAACGTCGTTTGAAGATTCCGCATGTCTGCCATTCTACATTGTTAGAAAAATCGATGTTTAACTTTAAACGAAATATTAACAACTGAAGATTGAGGAAAGTACATAATACAAGTTTACTAATTAACTCGCCAGAGTGCTATCACGTTAAATTACGTCACTTACTACGTCACTCATTACGTCACTCATTACGTCACTCACTACGTCACTCACTACGTCAATCACTACGCCACTCACTACATCACTCACTACGTCACACACTACGTCACACACTACGTCACTCACTACGTTACTCACTACGTCACTCACTACGTCACTCACTACGTCACTCACTACGTCACTCACTACGTCACTCACTACGTCACTCACTACGTCACTCACTACGTCACACACTACGCCACTCACTACGACAGTCACTACGTCACTCACTACGTCACTCACTACGTCACTCACTACGTCACTCACTACGTCACTCACTACGTCACTCACTACGTCACTTACTACGCCACTCACTACGTCACTCACTACGCCACTCACTACGTCACTCACTACGTCACTCACTACGTCACTCACTACGTCACTAAATCATTGCACTCTTTCAGGTACAAACTGAAGAGCGGTAACTTTGATTTCGGTGTGAAGAAAATCTACTTCTACTGGCTGTGTTTTGACGCTTCTGTATTTGGCTGGTTCACTTCTGTTATATCCGAGCTGGTCACTTGTATGGGGACTACATGTTGAGCAGAAGTGCGATAAAGCGGTACAACATTAACAGGCGCGTATCAGAGCAATAGGCAAAACATATTTGCCCCTACACTCCTACAGGAACGAGATACATTTATAACCAAACAATTCTCCCAACGCTAGGTTATGTCACCTTTGTGTGGTAGCATCGGATTGACAAGGCCCAGTACAAAAAATAAAAGGATGCTAGCGGTACGAAGACATGCATCATGATAGCCAGATCTCAAAAGCACGGCTCTAGATAATCTGAAGAATATGATAGTGATCAACCCCATTTATTTCAAAAAATTGTCCATACTAACAGCCAGGAAGTTACAAAAATAGGGAAATTTTCAGGAGCAAGATTCTGTGTGATTCGAGATATATAAACAATAAACATATATGCAAGGACCAGACACAAAATTTTCACACCGAGGCAACTGCAGTGTATTAACGTTTTGACGAACACAGAATTAGAATAAATCTATAATAAGACAAAAAGATCGTAGGGAATAAGTAATCGGGTTTGGATATATGAGGTGGCCCGATGGGCGATGGACCTGCGTTGTCGACAAAAGTCTGCTCCTTCGCAATATGGACCACTCCCCTATAAGTATAATTATGTGTATAAAAAGAGTATATTTTACGCGCTTGACGCTATAAGCCATGTGTTAATTAATTACAGGCATAGCAACCAGTTTTTGGTGCTTGACGACTGTTACACTTACACACGGATCAATCATTAATTTAAATGTTATTTTGGTGACACAAGCTTAATAAATTACCGAGTGATAAAATTCAGCAATTCAAAACAAATAAAATCATGTTATCAGCTGCGCTCCTACTAAATCGCTCGCCCAAATCGAGCTTGCTAAATCACTCTACAGTCGATCTTCGAGATTGTTCTAAAAGGGCCCCCGACAGTTGAAACCAATTTCAATCGATGTATTTTCGGACGCTGATTCCGAATCACCCACCATGACATAGGGTTAAAATGCTTTCCTGACGAGATATTGGCAAAAAACTGTTTCGATCACGTGATATGACCGTATAAGGAAGTTAGTCTAGTATCTAGTTAGGGTTAGGGTTTCAGCATATGCTTTTGTTAAGGATTGGGTTAGGGTTAGGGTTGGGATCAAATTAGAGGGTTAGGGTTTCGAATAGTCGTTCAGGACCAGCTAGAGAAGGGGTTGAAAAAGTCACGTGACAGTCGAGTGTAGATTACCTGGGGACCCCAGGCTATTATGTTCATTAAGATTAGGCGGAATGACAGGCTGAGCGCGGCCCAGTAAAGTGTAGAGTGATTAATCATCATCCCGCCCAAATTTTAAGAAAATTCTTGTGAAAAGGCCCTTTAGGCATGAAAGTGATCTGGATCGGTGTATTTTTGGACGCTGATTCCGAATCACCCCCCATGACGTAGGGTTAAAATGCTTCCCTGGAGAGTTATGGGCAAAAAACCGTTTTGGTTACGTGACAGGCTAGTAAAACGTGAATTCGATTATTTAGGGCTCGGGTTAGGGTTAGGGTTAGGGTTGTGGTTAAGATTATGGATAGCTTCGAGGTTATGGTTAGGGTTAGGGTTGGGATTAGGGTTTATGTAAAACCGTTTTGTACGGCTGCAAAACCAAAAAAACCAAAGTCACGTGAAATTTTTGGGCGAGCGATTTAGTAAGAGCCTATCAGCTGATAGACCTTAGACTCGTGGCTGATTATTTCTTCATTTAACAATTAATGATAATCGACACTGAATGGTAAAAAGCGAATACAGAGTTGAGAACAGATGTTATTTTACATTTACATTCAAGAAGCAACTAATATCGAAATTGCGGTATGCTTTTAAAGAATCCTACACCAAATAAAAGGCTCGAAAGTCGATGGTGCTGTAGATGTGTCGAGTAAGCATAAAAATGTATTAGTTTATCATTATGTTAGAAATAGATACAAATAATAACTAAGACGATCGACAGAATATTTTATTACAGTCAATAAAGTTGGCATACGATGCACTGTAGGAGGTGCACCATAAAAATAAACTTGCTCGGATTTTAAAAATTTTTGTACCATTGTTTTCTAGAGACTGTGAGAATTTTAACAATACCAAATTTGTCATACCTTTTTGGAAAGATCAGTGAGTTTCGCCTAGGTGCCATATTTGATGGTGCGCGGCTTTTGGAGCAAAATTAGCTGTAAAAGTTGCGTAATTTGACCAAATTTGACCAAATTCGTTGATTTTTGTCGTATTATTTGGATATATCTTCAGTTCCTTGAATGAGATCATTCTGAAAATTGGCGACGACCTTCCAATAGGGCTTTTACAACTGTCCGAAAAATTTGGTGGATATCGGAGTTGATATAGTGATCAAAATGGGGCAAAATACGCTGCTTTTAGCTGTAACATAATGTCTGATGGTTGGATAGGCTTTAAACTTTTCGGACACCTTCCTTGTAAGTCTATGAGTAAGCTTACCAATTTTTGTTGCAATCGGAGGTCGGAAAGGATACTTAATATCTATTTGTTTGAAGAAAATTGTGCTGGCCGAAATTAGCGCTAAAAAACCATCCTACAGTCGGCACGCGCGGCTCACTGTCGATGGCGCACTACCTAGATGCAGTAATATGACGTGAAATGATACACATCGTTATTTTTAACACGAGACAAAACCGCGCAAAGTATGACTATGAAATGATTTACAATCAAACCACATACACTTACACTTACAGATCGACGGCGACACGTACCTCAGATGCGCGCAGGATTTTTTAAGTTCTGCACGCCTAATATAATATAAAAGATTATTAAATGCACGCCAAACACCACTCTGGCCCGGATACAATAAAGTAAAACAATTACATTGTATGCGGTAGGGAAATTTGATCGTGAGTGGTGTTCATGTTACTGTTACCGCGGCGAAATTCTTTTGCAGCGGTAACAGTAACAGTTTAAATTAAGGCGAGCGATTTAGTAGGAGCGCTCACTAGCAGCAGCAGTTAGGACGCATTAGACTAAAAATCAGTTTTTATACCAAAATCGTTTGTTATCGAATTTACCCTAGGGAAATTAACGTCCGCGGTAAATTTAGATTTCCAGAGAGCGGGAGTTAAAACCTTACGTCAGGCACAACTCTAACTCTCTAAATGAACTCTGTCCAGGTTTGTGTCCGGACATTGGGAGAGGGACAAATCTTAATATGCTAAACTAATCATGGTAAGCACCCATTAAAATAGAATAAACTGTGCTCATCTACATAGGATTCCTTGTCTAAACGTTGACCGTTTAGAACTTATTTACATTGCCAACTTGGAGATTTTTCCGAAAGTGGTTGGTTTCGGGCTGGGGCATTGGGAGAGCATATAGGGACAAATCTTAATATGCTAAACTATTACCTGAGGACCCCAGGCTATTATGTTCATTACCTGAGGAACCCAGGCTATTATGTTCATTAACATAGAATAAAGATTTGGCGGAATGACAGGCTGAGCGCGGCCCAGTAAGCTAAACTAATGGTAAGCACCCATTAAAATAGAATAAACTATGCTCATCCACATAAGATTCCTTGTCTAAACGTTGACCGTTTAGAACTGATTTACATTGCCAACTTGGAGATTTTTCTGAAAGTGGTTGGTTTGGGGCTGGGGCATTGGTTGTCATACGTTGTATGACGCTCCCCTTGTATTTTGAGTGTGCTGTATCGTAAAAACGTTACAGGATCTATGGTGAAACGACATTGGGGTCACGACGTGATCGAGGCATTGGGAGAGCAGAGAGGGACAAATCTTAATATGCTAAACTAATGGTAAGCACCCATTAAATTAGGATAAACTATGATCATCCACGTGGGACTCCTTGTCTAACGGACGGTTAACTTTAAGAGCTGCTTTACTAAGAACTTAAGAAACTTGGTACCTTGAATTATTGAAGTGGTGGAATTGCCGGCCCAGTCTACAAGACGCAGCTTACTGTACTAAGAAACTTGGTACCTTGAATTATTGAAGTGGTGGAATTGCCGGCCCAGTCTACAAGACGCAGCTTACTGTACTAAATCCTTGATCTGGAAGATAATTGTGTCCTTTAAGAGTTCGGGTGATCCTGTAGAATTGCAGGTCACTCTATAATATGCAGAGACCACAGTCCAAACGGTATATATCTAACTATGGTCCAGTTATGAGGGTTATTTTGATTGTTGATTGGGACTGGCCAAAAAGTGCTAACCAATGTTAACGAAATAGAAATTTAATGCACAATAATTATGTGAGTTGTGAAATTTCTGAAATCCTACACACCTAATATTGTTTATTCATTATCTTT